AAAAAAAAAACCAAACCAAACATGCTCTAAGTCATTTTACCCAACAAAAAATTTGTGATGCCAAACATTAATTTTCTGGCAAAATAAAAAAAGAAACAACAATGATACCAAACATATTCATTGAAAATGTAAACTAGTATACACTCAAGTATTGTTAAATATGATTCCTTATCAATCTATTAATTATTATGAATTTTTACTGCTTATTCATATTTCACTTATATTTCACTCGGACACAAATTTTAATATACTACTAGGAGATTTGGATTTCATTTTATTTAAAAAAATGTCCACAGCCCTTCCAAAAACAAGAGGGGTGGTTTTGAGAACAAGATAAACAATAGACAAGCAGTTTTTCTTTTTGTAATGACATGATCTCAAACGCCTTTTTGGTACCACGTTCTAATCAAAACTAGACTTTTATGCCTCGGTGCCGCTGTGCTTGAATAACTTGTTACGTAAGACTTTCTGATGCAAATGATCTGTCAGAGCGGTAACTGCGGAATATATCTCAAACCATGGCTTACTAAGTATTCTATAATTCAATATTCTTGCGTATTAAAAATGGGCCTAGGTATACTGGCATGGTAAGCTTAATGAGACAGGAGATTTCTTATTGAAGCTGCTGAAGATCTACAACATTGCGGTTACATTAAACCCGTTTCTTAACTCTTCCTTACAAACTCACCACTGCCATCAAAGAGACTTCAAAGTATAATACGCTCAAGAACTAATACTAAACCAAATTTCCACAAGCGGATTGATACCTTGGACATCCATTTCATATAGAGATCGAAATGCCCAATTCCAGGTAACCCCGTATGTGAAGATATTTGTTATTTCGTTTCATCAACTTCATGTATTTTCCTAATTTTGTCCCCAAAAAATGGTCCCAAAATGGGGAATAAAAACTTTCCTGCACTAATAGTTTTGTTTTGCCGAGTGCAAGAAAATAAACCAACAATAATTTAAGGAGAAAATCGTCGAATTATTTGAAAATGAGAGCATCACGGCCAGGTCCAATACCGATATAATGGACAGGCACACCAACAAGTTCCTCTATTCTCTCAACATATTGCCGTGCACACTTTGGAAGATCCAAGTAGTTTCTGATAGAAGAAATATCACAATTCCATCCAGGCAAAACTTCATATTCAACCTAAACAAATAGGAAGCAAATGAATTAACAAGAGTGCTTAACAACTGCTAGACAAACAGCCAACATGAACAACCTAGTAATTGCTAATTCATCGTTCTTGTTAGCAGTCAGAGCAGCATAAAACAAATTCATAGATAGTGCAAGCTTTCCCTCTGTCTTTGTCCAAAATAAAGATCTCAAAACTATCAAAATTGCATCCATTAATGGAAAGCTCAAAGAAAAAGCAATCAACATATGGTGTTCTCCTATATGGTGTCTATTTTTCAAGGACTTCCAGTCAAGTCTTAATCTATACAAAGAAAGCAGGATCAGTAAGGCAACTGAAGGAGTTAGGTTTGCAATAATGAAAAGCAAACAGTAAAATATTAAAATAAAGTGAAAAAAGAAAAATCTCAGGAGTGTCATTTATGTTAGAAAAGTTGACTTACCTTCAACTGCTCAAGAAGACGAAGATCTGCTGGGAATGATTGCACTGGTGTACCATCAACTTGTTTATAAGCAACACCCAGTTTAATTTCAGGAAGATCCGACAGGACATCCAATTTGGTGAGATTTAGAGAAGAAAAGCCATTAATCTGACAGCAGAACTTAAGAGCAACTATATCGAGCCAACCACAACGACGAGGGCGACCAGTAGTAGTGCCAAACTCCTGCCCAGCAAACCTAAGGAGGTCACCCCCTTGACCCAAGATTTCTGTTGGGAAAGGACCAGAACCAACTCTTGTGGTATATGCTTTTACCTGCACAGAGTGTTTAAAAGGAACATATATGAATGAAGTTAAACATATTTTATGTATTAAAACTAACAGCTATATTCAGAACCCTTTGGCTTTGCGTGTCTATAATTCATACCACCAACCATACAGCTAATCAACTCTAAAACGAAGAAATCAAGAGTAAACAAAACAAATCATTCACTTACAACTCCAATTAAATCACCCACAACTCTTGGAGCAATACCCAGCCCAGTGCAGATTCCACCAGCAGATGGGCTTGAGGAAGTTACAAAGGGATAAGTACCGAAATCAATGTCCAGCATAGTAGCCTGGCCACCTTCAACCAATATCCTCTTCTTCTGTGCAATCGATTCATTCATCACATGCACAGTATCAGAAATGAATGGCTCCAACCTCTCAGCAAATCTCTTGTAGTTTTCAACCTCTTCCTTGAGCATTTCTGGGGTATAGTTAAAACCAGGGAATCTTGAAGCTGCATCTGATAATAAGACATCAAGCTTCTGAGCGAAAGTATCCATGTGCCTCAAGTCACTTACTCTAATGCCATTCCTGATCACCTTGCTCGAATAACAAGGTCCAATTCCTCTTCTAGTTGTGCCAATCAAAGACTTAGCAAGCTCAGCTTCCCTAAGCCCATCAACTACTTGATGAAAATCAAATAGCAAGTGAGCACGGTCAGATACCAATATCCGTCCTTTGCAGGAGACACCATTAGCTTCCAGCCCATCAATTTCTTTAAATAGACCTGGCAAATTTACTACTACTCCATTTCCAATAATACATAGAGTCTCCTCATTAAGGATGCCAGAAGGAACAAGATGAAGGGCAAACTTCTTTCCTTCCGAATTGTAGATGGTATGTCCAGCATTAGCTCCACCCTGAGATCAGAAAAATTTCCAATACTAAGAAGGATGCTACTTGCATAATAGCAAGCTGGCTGGTTAAAGCCTAGATTAGGACTACATCAGCAAGGAGGTTCCAACGAGGACCACCATAAAACTATGTTTTAAACCAATCAGAAGGAACTTTGGGGTTCTCCAAAAAGCTCAACAGAATGAAAGTAAAATTCTTACATAATCATTATATGATGAAGTCCTGCAAAATCTATATAACACATATCTGCATATGCTTGTGTTCTAGTAGTAGTACACAAAGGAACGGTTTGTTATAACTATCCAACATTTGTATTTCCTTTCTTTTTTTCAGAAAGAAAGCAGTAGATAGACCCTGAAATGTATTAACAGTAGAACTCATATGCAAGGCAAGTCACATCATATTACTTATGATATATAAAAGTTCCTAAAATTACAAGTACTATGAAGTAAAAGGGTCATAATACTGCAAGTGATAACTTAAAGGGTCCAGGCTAAAAGCAAAAACCTTAATTCAGAATTACATTCCAAATGTATAGCAATTAGAGATATGGGTTATTTACATGACCATAGCTTAACATTGTACGCATGAAATCATAAACACTCTCCCAGACACAAATCACAATCACAAAATCAAATATTGATAAGTTAAAAGTAAAAAGAATCTGTGAAATGAAAGGGTAAACCTTAAATACTTGTACTCCTACAAAAGAAACATTAGGTTGAAACTTAAAAGAGAAGCCCTTGCTAATGCTGTTCAACAAACTTGTGTGTGGTACCATGATTTCAGATTTAAGGTCTTTTAAATCCAAAAACAATTCTCAGATATGCAAGCAGGCATAAAATTACTTATGCTATGTTTCGGTTGTTGATTTCACTATTTTTTTTCTTTTTGGCTTTGTTAAAAGTTGTTAAGAAGCAAAAGCAAATACTATTTAAAAAAAAAATTCATATGTACTTACAAATAACTAAATAGCTATAATGTAATACACAAAAAACATAATTGTTTGATATAAAAGTAAAATATCATACATTTTGTCACTTTCAATATTTTAATTTTCAATTTTTAATTATTCAAAAAAATAATCTTATTTAGACATACTTCAACTACCAAATAGAGCTTTAACGAAAAGAAAAGAGTTCCACCTCAAGATATCATATGCTTACTAACTCATATTGCAAAGTCAATCGAGGTTGACTTTTAACATCATTTTTCAGGCAGTTTTCTCTCTATCAAATTGCAAATTACTGATAATTTCCATTTTAATAAAAAAATTCAAATTTATTCATTTTTAATTCCAACTTAGTAAGGCTCTTTCTCATGTTACCTTTTCCACTTTCTTTCTGCCATTTACATTTTACTAAGAAATTGCAAAGTAAAAAGCGAAATTATATTCTATTGATTAAAGCTTTTGAAGCAAAAAATAAAACACAAATACGTATAAAAGTACGCATATAAGAGCGGTACCTGGCAGCGAGCGACGATGTCGAAGTGCTCAGCCAAGATATCAACAAGCTTGCCTTTGCCTTCATCACCCCACTGAGACCCCAACACGCCGGATACCTGACTCAGCGATCCGATTCGACTCAGCGACTCACTGGCTGCTGACTCAGCCACGCTTAGAGAAGAGGAGGCGGCGGGCTTCAGGGAGCAGACAACGAAATTACGGCGGTGCTGGTGAAAGTGGAGAGTGGGTCTCTGGTGGGCCCATCTTGAGGTGGCGATTGGACTGAGGTCGAGAGCGAGAGACGAGAAGCTCATGGTTCAAACAGAAGAGAAAAAAAAAGACAGGCGAGAAAAGAAGTAACGTTATTGCGCAAGGGTTTACTTGAAAGCAGGGAGGGAGGGTTTGGTGCTTGGGAGTGATTCAGTTACGGGCTGGTGATCAAAGAGGGGTTGTGAATGGATGACACGTGGAGTGAGCTGAGACTTGAAAGTAAAAGGACGCTTGGTATGGTGCAAGGGAAGGACATTATCTA